TTCTGAGGCCCTTTCCAGCCCTAATGTCTATGAAATCTATGAAATCTCATGGGAAGAGCACTCGGCCAAATACAATCAGTCGCAAAGCGTCCTCATGCGCGTGGACGTGCTCTACCTGACTCAAGAAGTCTATGGGCTGACAAGAGGTAAAGCATTGCTGGACCTGGTATTGGCCAAAGGGGACGTTCTGGTCCGTGACCTAAGAACTGATGGAAAACTGGGTGACAGTGACCACAAGCTGATCATCTTTACTATCCATCTCAATGCTGGCAAGCCGGTCAGCAATACGGAAGTCCTCAACTTCAGGAGAGCTGACTTTGACAAGTTCAGGAGGCTCATTGTTGAGGCTCTAAGGGACCACGACTCGACAGGAAGAGGAGCCCAAGAAGAGTGGTTGCTCCTCAAGGGAGTGATTCTGACAGCACAAGAGATGGCCATCCCATCTTGGAGGAAGGGTAGCAAAAGGGCACAGCAACCCCCTTGGCTCAGCAGGGAATTTGAGGTCCTACACCTCAAGAGAGAGACTTATAAAGGATGGAAGGCTGGAACTACCACCAAGGAGGAGTACTCAGCACTGGTCCATACCTGCAGGGAGCAGATCAGGAAACCCAAGGCTGCAAACGAGCTCCATCTGGCTTCACATATCAAGGATAACAAAAAGTCCCTTTTCAGATATGTAAGGAGTTGGAAGAAAACCCAAGGGTAACATTGGACCCCTGCTGAACCAAATGGAACAGCTGATAACCAACACCCAGGAAAAGGCCAATCTGCTCAATGGGTACTTCGCACCAGTCTTTCATTAGTCCAATGGGACCGCTCTGCCTAGCAAGATGTGGGACGGCCAGGGTGAGGGCATATTTATACCCAGCATCAGTGTTGATCCTAGTGAAGGATCACCTTGAGAGGCTGGATACCTTCAAGTCAGCTGGTCCTGACAGATTTCACTCTAGAGTACTAAAGGAGCTGGTAAGTGTCATAGCCCAACATATTGGCAAAAATATTTGAAAACTCATGGCGCTCAGGTGAAGTATCTGAAGACTGGAAGAAGGCCAATGTGGTACCCATCTTCAAGAAAGGGCAGAAAGCAGATCTTGGGAATTACAGGACAAATCAGCTTGACCTCAATCCCCAGTAAGATTTTGGAGAAAATTATCAGAGAGACCCTACTGGATAAGCTGCCTGAGGGCAACATCCTGAGGGATTGCCAGCACGGGTTTGTTGTGGGTAGGTCTTTCCTGACCAATCTCATCTTCTTCTATGACCAGGTGACGTATCACCTGGACAAGGGAGAAGAGATTGATGTCATATATCTGGACTTTAAAAAAGCCTTTGATCTGGTGTCTCATGACCTCCTCATGGAAAAACAGGCCAACTGTGGCCTCAGTTACACCACAGTCCGATGACTGGGAAATTGGCTCCGAGGTCAGACCCAGACAGTAGTGGCTGATGGTAGCGAATCATTATAGCACTCCATGACCAGTGGCATCCCCCAAGGCTCTGTCCTTGGACCGGTTCTCTTTAACACCTTTATCAACGATACAGACATTTGTGGCTAAGTTTGCCGATGACACTAAACTTTGGGGCATAGCATCCACACCTGAGGACAGGTTAGGGATCCAGGCTGACTTGGATAAACTTAGTAAGTGGGCGGATACAAACCGGATGACGTTCAATACCAATAAATGCGAGGTACTCCACCTTGGGGAAGAAAACCTGCAGCATACTTACAGGCTCGGCAGTGCTACGCTTACTAGCACCACTGCTGAAAGACTTGGGGGTCATGACTGACCACAAGATGAACAAGCAAACAAAACTCTGGCTTGCATCCATAGATGCTTCTCAAATAAATCTCAGGATGTCACTCTTAGGATGTCATCCTCCCTCTGTACTTGGCCTTGGTGAGGCCGCAGCTGGAGTATTGCATCCAATTCTGGGCTCCACAATTCAAGAGGATGTCAAGAAGCTTGAGAAAGTCCAGAGAAGAGCCACGCACATGATCAGAGGGCAAGAGAATAGACCTTATTATGAGAGGCTGAGAGCCATGGCTCTCCTCAACCTGGAAAATCACAGGCTCAGGGGGGACCTGGTAGCTGCTTATAAGTACATAAGGGGTGTACATCAAGACCTGAGAGAATGTCTGTTCACCAGAGTGCCCCAAGGAAAACAAGGACTAACAGTCAAACTCCTCCAAGGCCATTTTAGACTGGACATAACAAAATTTTCTTTACTGTCTGAGCCCCCAAGACCTGGAATAGACTCTCTCCAGAAGTGGTGCAGGCACCTACTCTGGACTCATTCAAGAAATGCTTATCTTGCTGGGATCCTTTGGCCACAGCCGACTTCCTGCCCCTGGGGCAGGAGGCTGCACTTGATGATCTTTGAGGTCCCTTCCAGCCCTAACGTCTCTGAAATCTATGAAATTACACCAGTAATAGCGAGAGAATTAAAACGCCTATGGCTGGTCTAGATTAAAATGGTCCACATGAGTACTTGCTCAACGATGAAGCCCTCTAGCACTGAGGCTATGCCTTTGTGTGTGCAGTGCCTAGCAGAACAAGGCACTGGTGCCTAACTGATGGTCTCACTGTATCATAATAAAACATAACTAAGTATTTTCTGACCCTGCTCAGGACACATCAATGTAATGTGGTGGCTTTCAGTGATTTATCTACCTAAGCACTCTCACCAGGACTACCTTTGAGAAGACTCTGACCTGACAAGAAAAATAGGCCATGCTTTCCTTTAAATGGCAGAGGTGGGTGTTTTCACCGTAGGATAATGAATGCATGTCAACTATCTTGCTGCAAAATCCTAGGAGGTAGTGTAGTTTTTACTTAGATAGACCAGCATGCTGAACACCATATCCTTGCCCATGAGTGATGTCACCTACCTACCTTGCCTTTCACAGTTGTTACCAGGTGTTAATTATTCCTCTGTAAGCACTTAAAATTATAACTGTGCAGTGAAGATAACCTTACTGGAAATAAGGTATCCGAGGTTAACAAAACAAAAGCTAAACCATACATTTAATCCAAGCTTATTTCAAGAGGTGACATTACATAGATATTTAACAATATTATTTACCCTACCCTCTCTGCCACTTGCCACATTTTGGCAAGATAACTCTTAACATTTCATAGAGCTGACATCAAACCAAGTGATCAAATAAAAACAGTTTCCCTTTTTATAACGAATGAATCTCAGTATCTTGCACCTCTAGCATGGATGTAAATAGCTGCAAGCAAAAAAAAAAAACAACCCAACAAAAACAAACAAACAAGCAAACCAAAACAACCCCCCCCAAAAACACACAATCCAAGCTCCCCATCAGACATCAGAGTCAGTAACACCTTCTCATAACAGAAGGTATTAACGTACAATAGCTGGATTTAGATCAACTATACAAATTTATCATTTGAAAATATTGTTCTTGAGTTAATCTTACTTGGGAATAGATGATGGCCAAATAGAAATATGCTCTGCTGCAATATCGTTCACAATGTCTTCCTAAGAGGAGAAAGACAGTACAACAGAAGTTACAGATGCAAGCACATGCTTAAAAAAAAAAAAAAAAAAAAAA